TTGTTTAATCTACTCTGTCCTAACCATATAGGAAGAGGATATGAGTTCCCTCAGGTATTTTCCAAGTCACTTGATAAGTGTAGTGCTTTTCTAACACATCAGTTTTATTTGAAAATTTAAAAGGGTTTTGACATCAACTTTAAGAAACTTAACCACATGTCATTTATAATATCCCATGTAAATTATGAACTATAAGTAAGTATTACTAGGAAGTTTTCTTTATGAGACATGAGATCATTAAAGCCAACTCCTGGGGGCCTTTAAGCTTTGCCTTAAGAGCTGTGGAGGCCACTAGAAGGTTTTAAAAATAGGAGTTATAAAAGGGGTGTAGTCTCTTGAAAATATGTATCCACTTGGCTACAGTGGATAGAAAAGACTGTTACAGTAATGAACATGAATGAGTGGGATTGAGTAAGTCTGGTAACAAAGGGAATATTGAGGCATATATACCAGGAAAGAAAGCACAGTGGGCAGATTAAGTGCTCTGTGGGCATGGTGAGTGATTGGATACTAGACCCAAATTTAGTGACTTTTATCTCTTGTGGCACAATTCACTGAAAATAGGCAACAATTAAAGGTAGATGCATTAGAAGAGAGGGTGAGTTTGATGTATCAGCAAGGTATCCAAGTAGAAGGTACAGTAGACTCTACAGTTGTGATGCTTAAGAAAAGCTACAGAAATCCCCTGTGGAGAGTTGTAATGGGATCTGTGGAGGTGAATGAGATAACAGCGTATCAAGTGAGAGGAGACTATGGCTTCTGAAAGAATCTGAAAGATACAAATGCTAGAAAAGGAAAACAAGTTTACAAAAGAGGATAAGCCACAAAGGATAGAAAGAAAACCAGAAAAGCATGAGCCAAAAGACATTGAGAAAGAGATTGATCAGCTGCATAGATGTTTTAGAAAAGGCAGAAATCACAAAGATTGAAAATTATTCATGGCATTTAGCAATAAAAAGATACTTATTTGATGGTCTTGTCAAAACAGCATAGTGAGGGCACAAGCCAGATTGTAGTAAGTAGAGAAATGAAAGTAGAAATAGGGAATAACACTGAATCATTGAAGAGGTCTGCCCAAAAGGACGGAATGAAGAAGGGGGGACTTGTATCCAGGAAGCTACATTAGACTGTTGTAGAGAACTGAACACTTATAAATGTTACTAGAAAGGACTTTATAGGCAGACAGTTGTTGACAGTTTGAGAGAGAGAGAGATCAAAGAAAAATTTCTGAGGCAGGAGGAATTGTCATCCATGTTCACAGCGAGTAATTTGCCTTGAGCAGCTTTAAAAAACAACTTTCCACTGTAATGGGAAAGAACAAAAAAAAAAAAGACGAATCTACATATAAGCAATTTTGTTGATTCTCTTAGAAAGTAGCACAGTCTAAGGATAACACGGTGGGGGGAACAGAGAGAGAAAGATTGGGTAGCATTGTATAAAGTGAGAGAAAGAGCTGAGTACTTATGTGTAATGTTTATGTGGGGTTGTAGTCAAATTTGAGGGCTGTCAGTAACATCTTTTGTGGACATCTAGAAGTGGTTCTTAAAAGCCCAGAACAACTTAGAGGAGTTTCAGTTGGATTAATCCAAAATTGGATTTTGCCTGGTGGGACTGTGGAAGTATCAGAAAAAAAAATGGAACAAGAAAGCAGGAGGTGTTGACCCTGTGCTGTATGAAGTCATGAAACAGGGCCTCAGAAGGGAAAGAATAGTCAAAGGATGAAAACTGGAAGAGAATGAAAAGAAAATAGATGAAACAAGGAGTTGGAGATACTAAAAGGGCTTACAGGATGTGTAGGGATAGAGTTAGAAGGGTTGAAGATGATAGATAACTGACATATTAGAGAGTTGAATGACTTGCCTTTGTTAACACTGAGCTAAAGTAAAGACAGGACTAGAGTTAAAGAGGAAATCTGAGAACCAGATGGGCTGGTCTTTAATGAATGAAAAGAACTGATGTGATAGTTGACAGCAGAAAGAAGTTAGGTAAATGTGTGCCCACACTGTAACCACCAATTTAGTCAAGTGTTTATGTGATTAATTTAGAACTATATTGGTGAGAGTCTGTCATCTCAAGAAAATTTCCCTACTTGTCATCGAGTCTAATTCATCTATTTCAACTATATTTTAAAATGTTAAGTTGTTCTCAATACATTAGCATTATTTTTCATCTAAAGGCTACTCATAAATTGACCACTGCCAATAAAAAAAAAAATCTCATTTATACTATGACAGGCATTATGAGGGCTTAAAAATAGAGTTAAGAGCCCAAAACTTGAAATTATTTACAGTTGAGTGGGAAAATTCATTTGATGAAAATAAGATAAACTACATCACATGAGTGCTATATGAGAAGGAAGATTTAGCAAGGTTCTGAAGCATGAGGTGATCACAATTTAAGAGTGACTAAGCACCATTCAAAAAAAAAATACAGTTCACAAAAGAAGAGGATTAAAAGTTTTCTTTTAACTCTATCTTAGGTCTGTTAACCTATACTAATTGCATCATGCTCTGAGACACAGCAAAGTCATCTTGGCAATACATAGGTGAGAATTCAGTCATACTTCCTTCAGTAATTACCTTCAGTCTATAGATGGGCCCCACAAGGGTCAGGGAGATGAGTAGAAGTTCCTTTTAATTCATTTGGTGTGGGCTGCAAAAGGGGAACATTCAGGAAACTCCAAGAAGGTTCTTGATAAGTCCCTGACCAACAAAATTTTAGATGCCATTTCAAAAAGGACCCAGGGCTTGCTATACTACTATTCAAGGGTCTCAACCTCTGAACCACCGGCAGGATTCACTAAGGCCTGGAATTATAGACTAGGAGATTGCACTCCACCAGACATTCTGTGGTTATAGGAATCTCTGAAAGGCCTCTAGTGGGAACCCAAAGATAAATCTGTGTCCATGACTGCCCCTTTGAGGCCCATTCCTAGTCACATGTGAATATCTTATTTCCCTTCACCAAACCACCAGTATCCATATCACATCTCGCTCCTACCCCCATATCCTGCATATCTCTCCCCTGTTCTCTCAGTACCCATTATCTTCTTTTTGCCAAATTCAAATTTTATTCCTACTATTATTTGTACATAAATGCTTTGGGGGTATTTATATTCCACAGATTAGTGAAACCATCCAATATCTGTCTTTTAGTTTTTTGCTTATTTCACTGAACATAATCACTTCAAGTCCCATCCATATTGTACCAAATAACACCATTCCATCTTTCTTCATGGGTACATAGTACTCCATTGAGTATATGTTCCACAATTAGGGAATACAAGTTGTTAGAGCCCCTCTGGAAAACAGGACGGGAGTTTCTTAAAAACAATTTAAAAAAAATAGAAATTCTGTATGATCCTGCAATACCTAGGTATTTAGCCAAGTAATTTGAAAATTCTAATACAAAAGATTTATCTATACCTGTGTACATAGCAGTATTGTTCACAATTTATAAGTCTCAGAACCAACCTATGTGTCCTTCAACAGATGAATGGATAGAGACATTTTGGCATGTGTAGATATTTATGATATGACTATAAACCTAAGACCCATAACTGACTATAATGGACATTCTCCACTTATGCTGAAATATTCAAATATGCTTTCTTAGCAAAAACCTTACCCAACACCATCATGACAATCCACTTGGTGTACGTAAAACAGGTGAGAGTTTGTGTGACTCAGGAGACATCACCTGACAACTATATCATATTCGATACCATTTCTTATCTATGAAATGCATGAGCTAAACAGGATGCTACCACACAATACTTGGCATATATAATAGGAGGGTACTTATAAGTGGTAATCTTTATTACTCTTAAGGGTAAGTTGGAAAACTGGACCTAAAATCACAAATGAAGCATCTGAGTTTGTTTTGCCACCAAGACATGAAAGACATAACTCTGATTCTATGAGTTGTTAGGACAACTAAATTCAAGAAGATTGGCTGCTTCTTTATAGGTCTCCAAGAAAGTGCAAATTGCCATGCACTTCCAGGTATCTTTCATTTATTTCATAGAATTCTGTGTATCATTGTCAATGAATAGCTATTGTTTGTCAGTTCGCCTGTCTCCCTTTAGCACCACTAATATGGGACTTGATGAGCTCTAAACTGATATAAATGCACCAGAGATTTTTTTTTAATTAGCTAAATTAAATAATCCTAGAATAACTTTCTAGAATAACCAATGTTATGAACATTTTACCTCACCAGAAGAGAGACATTAGAATGGTTTTGAGCAAATGTTTCTTCCCCTTTATTCTGCCAAGTTGAAGTCCTTTATTTGATTTGTCATTGTTGTCTTTTAATGTTTGCCAGAGCTGTTACTTCCCCTGCTTTTATCAAGAAGCAATAACTACTTAGAAAAGTTAGTTATGTTCACAGTTTCCTAGTAAAATCTTTTGGCTGTTTAGAATGGCAGTAAATCATCTTAAAACATCAAAATAAAATGTGAAAATTTATCATAAAAAATTGATTTGGTGCTTCAAACCATAACTGAGTCCCAGAAAACAGTGAGATGATAATTTGCTTTCTGTCACCTCGAAAGTTAACTGGAGGAGGGGGGGTTCACAACACACACACACACATTTTTCTGACAGCAAACAGGCAAATCCCAGACAAAACTGCAGGGAAGGGGCATAGAAAGGAAAAAAAAAATCCTGGAAAAGCTGAGCTTCCAATCTCCTCCCACTAGTCTCTGTGAAGGATGACTTCAGTCCCTTTCTTAACTAATTCTGTCACTGTAAAATCCTACAGTCATTCTTCCACACATAAAGGACAAATAAGCTCAAGAGGAGGATCTAGATGCTTTCAGTTTTAACTATTCACCAATGGTGGAAAAGGCAGAATGCCTAAGCTATGTCTTAGTAGCCAATAGGATAGCTGTGTATCTCCCACATGACTCGCTGCCCCTGTCTTTCACATGGGCTGTAATTTAGTTCAATTCAGAACTGCAGATAGTACAGCTTTCACAGGAGCAAGGGATGCCTGAGCACAAGTGGCTGAGTTCCGAGAGACTTTATGAAGCACTTTCCTGCCTCCTTCCTGCTTGCAGAAGGGGTTTCTGCACCTGCATCAGGGACAGTCTGACAAAAGCCTCTGCTGTGCCTCCGGGGACCAGGAACGAGCACGAATATCCACTATGAAACTGTAAGTATGTATTTCTTTCCGTCAAGTGTACTGGCTAAGATAGTTTTATGTCATAAGCTTGGGATATTTAAAGATATTTTCAGTGTACTCTCTCGTTACATGTTTTGAAGGATATTCGACTGACAGGAAAATGTCCAGGGACAATTGTTGCATGTTTTATTATGTTAAAGATAAAGAATGAAAAATAAAAGTCAGGCATTCCAAAGAGTAGCTGCAGGAGGCTGCACCCCGGAACATTGGTCTAGTATGCTGCTTTGTTCATAAGGAAAAATGAAGGCGCACACATATGTACTTAGTTCACTGCTTTTTGCTCTTTATGTCTAATCAGGTTTGATCTGTCCCCAAGAAAAATAAAAGGCAAACTTTGCTGACTCCACTGACAAGGCTCCATAGACTTTCCAGACATCTGACAGTTATTATAATTAGCTATGAAAGACTGCTAAGACACTTGGGGGCAAATAGCTCTTAAATTCTGAACAATGGCTTCAAGCCAGGGCTTTCTTTTTATTTATTTTTTTAACCACCACTTTTCATTTTATAGTAAGGACAGAGACTGAACTGGTTTTGGTGTTTTTCAAAATGTGAAATAAAGTCCCTACGGAAGTAAAAGGCAACTGAAAGTGGCCAGGGTAAAGAAGGAAAGACAGCTTTCTGTCTTAGGATCCAGCCTTCCATGTATAAAGATTTTTTTTTTTTTTTGAAATTCCTAATAGGGTGGAGTGAGGATGTGGGGGTGGGGAGGAAGCATGCAGAAGCTTCTTTATAGAAGAATGCTTGAAAAATTAAATATTGGGGAATTTCTTCTTACTAACAGGCAAACGATGTGATTAGCATCTAAGTTACATTCGTGGGAAGACCTTTTGATAGAGTTTCAAACAGAAGCAACATACAAAGCAGTTTTTTCAAATTTATAAAATAATTGGAAACAAATGGGGGAGAATGAGTCTATAATACTGCTTTCTTTTTACACTCAGTTAGGGTAATCTAGCCATGTATTATGCTTTTACTTCTAGAATTATCCAAATCCTTTAAAAAGTTATACACTGAGTCTCATGAAATTAAAAGGCAAATCAAACCGATGTGATTTATACTGATGAAGATTTTGAACGAGAAAGCCTCTAACAAAAAGAGAATTTGTAAGAAAACATTGCCCTCCTCATTTAAAAAGGAGAATATTAACTCCATCAATTATTGAAAGGAATTATTCAAAGGCTCCAGACATAACTAATTATGGCTTAAAGAGATCTGCCAGAGCAGAGCTTGTGTTCTAATTATAAAAGTCCAGGAGGTTAGGATTCATTTTTTCAAGAGGCTTGGACGCAAATTTTCGCATAATCTTTTTTAAATACACCATTTTTGGTCTTTGTCTGCTCTCATGTTATCTACACCTCCCCCACCACCGCCCACTGTGTGCTGAGACACCTGAAGGCTAGACATAATGATCAACAGAGCTCCAGCCTGTCTGGACTCCAGCCAGGTTTTTCCCCCTCTACAATCAAGGAGCTTGCACGCAATGCATGCCGAGCCTGGACCGCTGCTATGTGCAGATCCGGGATGGAAGTCTTACACACACTGCAGAAAGATTAAAGACAACAATATCCCCTTTCTCTTACCCCAGACAGCCTCAATTTTTAACCCTTTCATTGCCTGTAAAACCAAGACGTCTTGCTCGTTCAAATGCAGGTCTCAAGAGACCCTGCAACTCCTGCACCATATTACACAGATACTCATGCCTCATTTGGTATAGAAATCTCATCTCAACGGACCTACCGGGAGATTTTAGGATGAACAGAGTGCTAACTAAACAAAACATAATTTGCTTATGTGGAAACTACATTTTTGATGGCACTTAAGCTTTATGAAATCTGGAAAAAAGTCAAAGGTCTGTGGAAAGATTCTTGCAAAGCTTGCAGAAGGTTATACCATTTCTGATGATGCTGGTCTTTAAGCATGTCTCTCTCACCCCCTCATCGCTCGCTCACACACACACAAACACACCGAGATACACACTCTCAAGCCCACACAATTATATCTTAATAACACAGAAAATCCAGGTTTGCTGGTGAGGTCATTACACATAAAATTCTGCCTTTGTGGACAACATTTTCAATCACCTAATCGCCAGTGTCTGTTGGGTGTGTGCCATAGGAAGTTCACGTGTTTGCGGGGTTAACCGACACCCACAGGAAAGACTATTTTATTTGTAGCTATCTCTTTCTTGAAGATGTGTTTCTGGGGCAGTATGGGCATGCTTCTCAGGATCGATGAAGTCAAGCAGAGTTTCCTGATTCTGGGAAGCCTTATTAATATGCTTGTTGAACGTTTCAGAGGTGGCTGAATTGCATTGATAGTACTAACATGGGAATTTGGATAAATATGCTATAATACTGATATTTCACCAGTTGGTGTTTCTTATTTGCCATTTAAATTTTGTGGCCACGAGATTATTTTTACCATGAGCTTATTACCTTGGGAAACAGTGATCTTGAATAAATGATTTAACAAGTAATGCACAATTTATGTGTTCTCATTTATATGAAATTTGGATTAAAATTCTGTGGACTACTGGTGCAGTGATTATATTCAAGTCTGTTTTAATGGGTCTTACATTAAACTGTTATCCACCAAACAAGTGTATATTTGTTTGGTATATTTATGTGTATATTTAACTATATTGTTTTATTTAACTTAACTCAAAATACAATGAACTTGAATAATTTTACCAAAGCATACCGCCATATTTGATATATAAATAAGGAACAACTGTGTGTGTGTGTGTGTGTATATGTGTGTGTGTGTGTGTGTGTGTGTATACTGTCTCTTAATTGCTAAACTTGATATATAATTTAAATTAATCTTCATTAGTATAGAATGACTGGGACTAACTACCAGTTCTTACATATCAAGAATTAGATGCATTGTTTTCTTAATTTTGGAGTTTGCTCTTAGTATTACTTTCTTGCATACTTAAGATGGATTAATTTTGGAGGGATTTACAAAGCAACTTTATATGAATAGCGCTATTTAGACATCAACACATAAATTAATAGAATTCACTTTGCTGATGTATTTTGTGTTTTTTTTTTAAATAAGTGAAAAAGTGTGTTGTTCTTTTTGGCTTTCATGTTACTATTATTGAAAAATGTATATAGCTGAAAGAACTGACACATTTTGTACTTAGAAAAAACAAGCTATACAAGTTAAGTGACATTCTATGAGGTAAGGCACCAGTGTGAACTAATAAATAACTTTTTTGAGAAATTCTTGGGCCTGACTATAATTTTTTACATAAACAGTTCTTTCAACAAAGAGTGGAATTCTTGCTTGAGGATGAATTATATAATTGTTTTATCAAAGATAAAAAAGTGAACAAATCGTTGGATTTAAACTTCATCTACTTTCTAAAAACAAAACATGACATGCCCACTGGGGATACAGGTTACTAAAAAGGCATCTTTCAAAAAAAAGAAGATAATGGACTTGATTGAAATAGTTGAACTACGTAACGCCAATTCAAGAACAAATGGTTTTTCAGAGCATAACGGAGAAAGAACAATTTACTATAGTACAGTTCATTCTTTTTACACAATAGTAATGATTTATTTGAGACGGTAGAACAAACACAGTAAATATACAAAAACAACCAATGATATCTTATGCCACGGACATATTAAGTTCTTATGTTTCATATACTAGAGTAAGTTTAATACATGTATTTATCTGAAGATTTTAGTTAAAATTTCTCCTCTTGCTTGGATAAGGTGACTTTTTAATCATGCATTCTTATGCGTGTGTGTGTGTGTATGTTCCATATATAAACATATATAGCCTATTTGAATATAGTCTAATACTTAAGTGAGGATATTAGTGTGTTTTAATACAATGAATTGTTGATGGTGATATCAACTAGGTCTATGCTAGCAGAGGAGCATGCTCAGATAGTGACTAAATTAATATATTGATGATGCTATTATTTTAAAAACATCAGAAAATTTTTAATCATATTAAAAGCCATAGCCAATTTGGAAAGCAGTATAAAAGGTTATTTTAAAATGTATATTTATTACCATTATGAATATCTTTTCTAAAGGTAGTCTTAACTTTTCTTTCATGAAAAGAAAAACTGGGTCTTTTAAGAAACTTAGTCTTTAGGCCTGAAATTATTTGGAGTAGATGCCTGAGCACTGTGCAGAGAATACACAGGAACCTCCAGTCTCAAAAAGAAGGGAAACTGGTTTGGTTGCTTCATGCCTCAAATTTTATTCTTCCAAGCCTACAGGCAGACGACACTCCAAATTAATCTGAGTGAAAACTATCAAAGCTATTTTCACAATTTTCAAAAGATCTACAGCCCTGTTGATAGCCCAGGCAGGAAAAGTGTTCTAAGAGTGATTGAATGTTTCACTGCCTGAAACTCAGTCAAGCTCAGTGAGGCGCTGGGGTCAAATGGGCTCATGAATCACAGATAGGAAATGAACTGTGGATTGCATATTTGGAGGTTCGAAAAAGAAACATTTGGGATATTTTACCATCAACAGATTTGGGGTTGATTTTTGGGCACATCATTTTAAACATCAAGCCTGCAGTTCAGCTGAAATAACTTTATATTATATATAGAGAGAGCTAAGACCAGATGGCCACGTGCTCCTTTCTTATTTAGATGAGACTTTTCCTTTCAATAACATCTTTCTTCCTGACCTGCTTAAAAATTCCAGCGAATGAAATCAGCACAGGATTTTCAATTCTAATTGACCATGTGCAGAGGAAGGGCCAGTGGAGAAATCAGTAGAGGCATTGTGAGGTTCAGCGCCTCAGATTTGCCTTTGTTTTGCACTTACTAACCAATCTAAACTAATTGAAGACATTTAATTTTGATTGATATTAATATAGATGCAAAGTTAATCCTTATGAATATTACCTGAGTTGGTTGTTTCTGCCATTTCCTCAGAAGTAAATAAGAAAGTTATCATGCACTTCTAGTCTCTCAACTATGGTGAGTG